TACTCTCTCTCTCTCTCTCTCTCTCTTCTCTCTCTCTCTCTCTCTCTCTCTCTCTCTCTCTCTCTCTGACTTATGTAAAAGAAGCTTTTTAAAGCTTAAAATGAAAGCATATATTCACATCTCACAATTGTAATCAGATTTAAGACTCTAAAACATTAGGACATTATAAATATAAGATTTTAAATGAAATATATATTCTCACAACTAAGAGGATGGCTTAAACAATAGAATTTAATAAAATAATGAGTCACTCTAGACTATGCCGAGTTCATGCTATGCGAAAAAGGGACTGGATTTTAACATCATGGAACTTATGATTCCTAAATAATGGGAACTTTGGACAATGGCAATCTCTAACCTAGTATCATCCATTACTGAAAGAGAATCCACAAACATGGAACTCAAGATTTTAATATATCAAAACCCTGGACCATGGTTGATGGGAGCGAGAATCTATTTAGAAATAGAACTGGATTCCAATGATGGATGGAACATGGTCTCATTTTTTTGGGAGCGAGATCACAAAATCGAAAAAACAGGGTGAGCGAGATCCCAAAATCGAAAAAACGGGGTCCCTACAAGAACCCTTGCAGGAACCGTGGGATCGAGGTTCCAGAGCAGGATCGTCACCCTACCCACAAGGTTCCCTTAACTATGAGCCAAACAATGAAAACTGCGAACATCATGGACTGTAACATGACTTGATTACTACGACCTTCTACTTTGATGCCCTAAGCTGAAACGACAGAACCAAGAAAAACCAGACTGCATATAATAAAATCACACTTCTTTAGGTTCACATACAACCGCAGCTTCTGAAACAAATCAAAAAACTAATAGCAAGTACTCCATATGCGCTTGCTCACTGGTGACGTAAATGAGTATGTACTATGTCATCAAAAGAGACCACAACAATCCTCCTAATAAAAGGCTTAAATACTTGATTCATCATACAAATAAGGTGATGGGAGCATTAGAGATGCCAAATGTCTTGAACACCGTGTTCCACTCATCCCCTGGCCGAATATGGATCTGATAACACATACTCCGCAAAATCTATCTTCGGAAAAACAATAGCATGAGAAGACGAATCCCATAGTGTCCAAAGACATGGATAATGCAAGTGAACGATCCTGGGGCTGAGGAGGTCTTCACCATGTGGGTTTGACTCAGGATACGATTGAGGAGGCTTCAATCAGGATATGATTGAGGAGGCTTCAAAGAAAGCTTCCTGATTGACAAAGGAGAAGGGAGATAGAGGAAGAGGAGGAAGAGGCCAAGATGGAAAAATTTGAGGAGGGTATTGTATATTAAAGAGGCTGATAATTCTGATAATGATTGATTGGAATCCAAGGAAGGTGCTTGGGACAAAGTCAATGATTATGAAGAAGACAAAAGATTAAAGACTAAATGTTTGTCTCACATTATTTTACTCTATTTATTTTTACTATAATGTTTATTGGAAGGCATATGTCTATGAACTACGGACTTGTGGTCGTCGCATTGTAATTCAGTAATTGGGTACTTTTTGGCATTGCACCTGTCATGGAGGATTGAGTGAACATATTTACCCATATGGCATTGATATTTTGATTTTGGACAAGACATCACTTTTATCTTTTACTGTTCGAGGCTGTTAGTTCAATCTTATATTTACTGATTTATTATGATTGTGCAAAGTGAATTCGTGATTTCAGTGTGTCTCCAGCTTTCACGCCCATATATATGTGCCTGAAATCATACATGTATATGGACAAATAACACACACACACACACACACATATATATATGTATACGTAATAATAATAATGCATATATGTGCTATTGGAGTGCACATATATAAATATGTGTCTAGGGCCCCTTGAAACCGAGGGGTATGCCTATCGCCTAGGCGCCAGTAGACCCTCGAAACCAAGCTGCCCAATGCTCTCTCTCTCTCTCTCT